GCGGGAATTTCGTAGAATGGAAATAATAAAAATTAAACATTAAATAATTATCACGACATTTCGACCACAACGCAAGCAGCCGTCCTCACGTGAAGACCAGGTCTGTCGGGGAGACAGCGTCTGAATGAAACAACACCACGCTTGGAACGTCTATTTAAGCCGGGTTGGAAGGTGGGAAGGTGCGCCTTGACAAAAGAATTTGAACATATTTACGTCACTTTACCGAAAGTCAAGAGAGTCATGAAGTTCACTATCCCAAGAATTTGGCGGGAACCCACTGACCACTCAAGCAACTGCTACTTCTGCATGGTGGACCCTTCCAAACGCCGTACTGGCAAGAATGCACCTGCTATCACGTATCCAGATCTTCCTTCATCCATCGCCCCGGTGCCACGCTGCCATGAGCTCCCCGTACCTACTCTTCCGGAGAGAGACCAGCTGTCTTTAGAAGAGAACAGCAAGTCAGAGAGCGAGGAAAGCGTTGTAGATCCAGATGACAATTTCAGAGGTGGAGCTGAGGAGAGAACCCCAGACTACCCCAACCAAAAAGACCTCAACGACTTGATCAGAGATCTTGTTCTCACCAAGTCCAATGCCGAACTTTTGACGTCTAAGCTCAAGCAGTGGAACTTGTTGGATGAAAGTGTGCAAGTCGCAGATCAGAGGAAGCATCACCAACATTTGTGCAGCTTCTTCACTCTTCAAGATGGGCTCTGCTTCTGCCACAATGTGACCAGTCTGTTTGACGCAATCGGAATCGCCTGTAACCAGATTGAGTGAAATAATATTATTTCCATTCTACGTGACTTTACCGAAAGAACCAATAAAAATTCTGAATATGTCATTAGGTAGAGTATAGAGAAACGCTTAGCTGATATTGAAAACGAGAAGACCTTGTTCATTGTTTGCAGGAAATATTTATTACGTTGCTATTTTAACACTGGGTTCCATTCACTGCCGTTTGCATGTTCGATCGACCTTGTGAATACTTCTTCGGACGCATTCCAGAATTTTTGAAACTTTAAATAGTTTTCAGCAAACACCAAATAATTTCCTCTGAACCGTAACATGAAAATCAAGTTGAGTGCTGGGGTTTGGCTCCCTAAATTTTACGTCAAAACTCCATATCGACAATTTAGTTCTATCCTTCACACGTTGCACTTTTTTTTGGTTCTTTCGGTAACGTCACGTAGAAGGGAAGTTATAAAATAATAGGAATAAAACATAAAATTCTCACGACGTTTCGGCCACAACACAAGCAGCCGTCCTCAGGTGAGGGACCAGGTCTGTCGAGGCGACGTCTTTTTAGACCTGGTCTTCACCTGAGGACGGCTGCTTGTGTTGTGGCCGAAACGTGAGAAGTATTTAATTATGTTTTATTCTTATTATTGTATTACTTCCCTTCTACGTGACTTTACCGAAAGAACCAAGAAGATGAATCCCTGCAGTCACGAAAGCTTTAAATCGAAACATTTTGCACTGTTTTAATCAACACACGCCCAGTGTCAATCGGCGCGTTCAGCAAAGGTAACTTTAAACCCAACATCAAAATAATTACCGTCAACAAATGATAACCATCGAACGAAGAAGGGTGCCAGTTCAATCCCTGGTTGGGGGACGACTCGGCTCACATCGTCATCACCATCGTCACACCTCCGGCCGTCGTAAAGTGAGCACCACAACTAGCCCCGCCATAGGAACGAGGCATGCCCGGCCGCCTTTGTGTCCCCGACAAAACAGCCGCGTGTGCACGTTCGCCCCTCTCCCACTCGGGCTCTCGGCGGCTCGCAACGGCGGCGACGGTCGACGGCGGCCATGACGCGTCCGAGGCCCCGAACGCAAAATGGCGGAAACCTCCTCGGGGTTCCACGCGGAGACCTCGGGACACTTGGAGACATTCAATCTAGATTTTAGGTTTTGGTGACTGCAGGGATGCATACTCTTTGGTTCTTTCGGTAAAGTCACGTAGGTACAGTGAGGGAAAAAAGTATTTGATCCCCTGCTGATTTTGTACGTTTGCCCACTGACAAAGAAATGATCAGTCTATAATTTTTATGTTAGGTTTATTTGAACAGTGAGAGACAGAATAACAACAAAATCCAAATGCAAATCAATTTATAACATTTTTGACATGCGTTTTTCTGGATTTTGTTGTTATTCTGTCTCTCACTGTTTAAATAAACCTACCATTAAAATTATAGACCGATCATTTGTCAGTGGGCAAATGTACAAAATCAGCAGGGGATCAAATACTTTATTTCCTCACTGTATAAAATCAATTAAATTTAATCACGACGTTTCGGACGCAACACAAGCGTCCGCCATCAGGTGGGACAACCACAGCAAGAAACAATTGCTGGAGTGGGCAAAAGGGTTGCCGTGACAAGAGGCTATATAGGTAAGAAACGGAGGAGGAGCCAGGGAGGAGAGATAGAGAGGGGGGGTGTGGGGTAGGGGAAGTGGAGCGCTGCTAGAGGGATTAGGAAACTAGCAAGGCAAGGGGGGGGGGGAGTGGGCGGGGCTAGGAGGCTGAAAAAACTGGAGATGCGGATATGAAGGCAACACCATAAAGCAGTTAAGGTTTGACCTGGTTAATAACATCCTTCCAATGATTGCTCAATTTGTATCCATCTTCTCGGTTGAAGGTATGTCTTTGTTTATATACCTGCATGGCTTCATGAACAAACCTTTGATAGTAGCCCGAAGGTTTTCAGAGTACCTTGGTCCCGGAAAAACACAATCGTGCGAGCCCACAGCGTTATAGCAATGGTCAGCCACGGCGGAGGAATTGGTTCTGCGGTGTTTCAGATCTGACTTGTGCTCGCGAACAGGGTCCGACACATGCCGTTCCGTTTCCCCAATGTAACAGCCACCAAATTTACAACTTAGTTTGTAGACTCCAGGATACTGCACGTCAGGAATGACATCCTTCACAGATGGGATCAGATCACAGATTTTGTGTATTGTACTGAATCGGACCTGGATCTTGTGTTTGTTTAAGATCTTGGAAATATTTTTGGTAACACCTGCTATGTATGGTAACGTGATGGTTTTGATCGGCATTTCAGGGGGTTGTTTCTCCATGGTTGGAGAAACAGCTTTGCGAATAATGCGGTCTGAGTACCCATTTATCTTGAGGGCCTGGTGGTCGTGTTCCAATTCACTGGCTAGGTGGTGTTGGTCAGAAATGCAGTGGGCCCTATGGTGTAGTGTTCCGGCACAGAAGAATTCCCTCATCAAAACACTACAACACAGGGCCCATTGGATTTCTGACCAACACCACCTAGCCAGTGAATTGGAACACGACCACCAGGCCCTCAAGATCAATGGGTACTCGGACCGCATTATCCGCAAAGCTGTTTCTCCAACCATGGAGAAACAACCCCCTGAGACGCCGATAAAAACCATCACGTTACCATACAGAGCAGGCGTTACCAAAAGTATTTCCAAAATCTTAAACACAAGATCCAGGTCCGATTCAGTACAGTACACAAAATCCGTGATCTAATCCCATCGGTGAAGGATGTCATTCCTGACATGCAGTATCCTGGAGTCTACAAACTAAGTTGCACCTGTGGTGGCTGTTACATTGGGGAAACGAAACGGCATGTGTCTGACCGTGTTCGCGAGCATAAAGCCAGATCTGAAACACGGCAGAACCAATACCTCCGCCGTGACTGACCATTGCTATAACGCTGTGGGCGGTTTTTTTCCGAGACCAAGGTACTCTGCAAACTACTATCATAGGTTTGTTCATGAAGCCACCCAGATATATAAACATAGACATACCTTCAACCGAGAAGATGGATACAAATTGAGCAATCATTGGAAGGATGTTATTAACCAGGTCAAACCTTAACTGCTTTATGGTGTTGCCTTCATATCTGCATCTCCAGTTTCTTCAGCTTCCCACAGCCAGCCCCGCTCACATCCCCCTACCCCACACCCCCCCCCCCCCTCTCTATCTCTCCTCCCTGGCTCCTCCCCCGTCTCTTACCTATATAGCCTCTTGTCACGGCAACCCTTTTGGCCACTTCAGCAATTGTTTCTTGCTGTGGTTGTCCCACCTGATAACGGACGCTTGTGTTGCGCCCGAAACGTCGTGATTTGATTTATTTTATTTTATACCCACGTCACTTTACCGAAAGAACTTGTAGAGACATCTTGACACTAAACATCACCCTCACACGGTGCGATGCTGAGACGCTTGGAGCAAGCCGCACACCTCCCTCCGTCCTTCCCTCCCTCCCTCCCTCCCCAGGATGAACTGGCCTCCCATGTCAAAGCGATACCCCTCCCTCACCCACTGCCCGTCCCTCCTGACCCTCCCCTCCCGAAATGACGAATCCGGCTCCATCTCGGCGCCACGGCCTGTCTCAGTCGCTCCATCATCTCACCCACCCTCCGACCTCTCTCACCGAACCTCGCTGCGACCCCTCCCTCCCTCCTCGCCCCTTCCCCCCTTCTCTCCACCTCCCCCCCCGATCTTCGCTGTTGCTCCCCCCTCGCTCCTCCCCCCGCTCCCCTCCCCCCCTCTCCCCACGACCTTCTCTGCTCCTCACCCCTCGCCCCTCCCCGCGCTCCCCTCCCCACCTCCCCCCACGACATTCTTTGGACCTCCCCCCTCGCCCCTCCCCCCACCACCTCCCCCCCCCACGATCGTCTCTGCACCTCCCCCCTCGCCCCTCCCCCCGCTTCCCTCCCCACCTCCCCCCCCGATCTTCTCCTCTCCTCCCCCCTCGCCCCTCCCCCCGCTCCCCTCCCCACCTCCCCCCCCGATCTTCTCCTCTCCTCCCCCCTCGCCCCTCCGCCCGCTCCTCTCCCCACCTCCCCCCACGATCTTCTCTGGACCTCCCCCCTCGCCCCTCCCCCCGCCCCTCCTCCTTCCGCTCCCCCCACCACTCCTCCTCCCGCCGCCGCCTCCTCTCCAACCCCCCCTCCCCCCGCTCCGCTCCCCGCCCCTCTCCCCCCCCGCCCCACCATGACCCCCTCGGCGAATCTCCACCCCTCGTCCGGCGCGGTGCGGTAGACGTCCACCCCTTGCCTCGCGAGTTCCCGTCGCCTGTCGGCGAACCTCTGATTCAACTGGTACTGCTCCCTCATGAACGCGTTGTGCTCTCTGGCCTCCCTGGCCCGCTCCGCCGACTCCCTCTGCCTCGCTTGTTCGGCCCTCTCCCGCCTCGATTCCCTGCCGCCGCCCGCGGCTCGGCCCCCCTCCCTGGCCGACGGCTGCCCCCTGTCCGGGACAATCAGCTGCCGCAGCCTGGCCGAGATGTCGGCGATCCTTCTCGGGTCGTCTCGTCCGCCGCTGCCTCGGCCCCTGTCCATGGCCGCCGGTTGTCACCTGCTCGGCCTTCCTGTGCCGTCACAGCCGCCGGGAGAATTTCCGTCATCGCCACCGTCACGACCAGTGGGTCTCTATGAGTGTGGGTCTTTGTGGGTCTCTGTGAGTCTCTGTGGGTCTCTGTGGGTCTCTATGAGTGTGGGTCTTTGTGGGTCTCTGTGAGTATGGGTCTCTGAGTGTGGGTCTCTGAGTGTGGGTCTTTGTGGGTCTCTGTGGGTCTCTGTGAGTGTGGGTCTCTATGAGTGTGGGTCTCTGTGAGTATGGGTCTCTGTGGGTCTCTGTGAGTGTGGGTCTCTGTGAGTATGGGTCTCTGTGAGTATGGGTCTCTGTGGGTCTCTGTGAGTGTGGGTCTCTGTGAGTATGGGTCTCTGTGGGTCTCTGTGAGTGTGGGTCTCTGTGAGTCTCTGTGAGTATGAGTCTCTGTGAGTATGGGTCTCTGTGGGTCTCTGTGAGGGTGGGTCTCTGTGAGTGTGGGTCGCTGTGGGTCTCTGTGAGGGTGGGTCTCTGTGAGTGTGGGTCTCTGTGAGTATGGGTCTCTGTGGGTCTCTGTGAGTGTGGGTCTCTGAGTCTCTGTGAGTATGAGTCTCTGTGAGTATGGGTCTCTGTGGGTCTCTGTGAGTATGGGTGTCTATGAGTATGGGTCTCTGTGAATATGGGTCTCTGTGAGTATAGGTCTCTGTGAGTGTGGGTCTCTGTGAGTATGAGTCTCTGTGAGTATGAGTCTCTGTGAGTATGGGTCTCTGTGGGTCTCTGTGAGTATGGGTCTCTGTGGGTCTCTGTGAGTATGGGTGTCTATGAGTATGGGTCTCTGTGAATATGGGTCTCTGTGAGTATAGGTCTCTGTGAGTATGGTTCTCTATGACTTTGGGTCTCTATGGGTCTCTAAGTGTGGGACCTTACCTGGTAAAATGAAAATGATTGTGAGGTGATGTATGATGATTGTCTTGGATTATCACACGGCCTGACGTCAGCAGGCACACTGCGCAACGCTGCGGGTGACATCACAGATGTGACGTCACAGATGTGACGTCACCGCTCACTTGCTGTGACAAATATTACATCCATTATTGTGCCCCCCCCCCGCCCCCCAAAATACACAAGTTTATTTTTACACTTTTTGCATTGTGTCCAGTCTGGAAGCTACCCACGTGCCAAATTTCAAGTTTGTTGCATGTTGGGAAGCATGCTAAACATTTCGAACAGACACACATTCACAAATTTCCCTTTAATACATATAAACTGTGTTTTACTGGTAGGAACGAAGTGAACCAGCCTACAATAGATTATATCGTCCGTCCGTCCGTCCGATTCGGTGTAGCAACATCGCCCCCTACTGCAAACACTTGGCAGGACCCTACAAAAACCTTTAGACTCAGTGAGGCTTTCCTGGCTAAACAAGTGTAACATTCCCTTATAATTCCCTGAGATAGCTTTTAATTACAAAAACCTTTAGACTCAGTGACGCTTTCCTGGCTAAACAAGTGTAACATTCCCTTATAATTCCCTGAGATAGCTTTTAATTAAAACATTTAAATTAAAAATTAACTCACAGCGGCCTAAAGCCTACAGCTAGGCCTAAAGCCTAGAACTAGGCCTCAAACTCTCCCTTCGGATCGTCCAATTAGGTGTAGCAACATGATTTTTATTTTTTTATTTTATTTTCATTAATTTTGATGTTTTACCTACGTGACTTTACCGAAAAACCTAAGAATATATAGCAACATCGCCCCCTACTGCAAACACTTGGCAGGACCCTAGAAAAACCTTTAGACTCAGTGGGGCTTTCCTGGCTAAACAAGTGTAATAATACATGATGTTTATATTCTTTGGTTATTCGTTCCTACCAGCCCACCCCGCAGAGACCTGTTTTGTGTGTATATAAACTATATTATGTTTATATATAAACTAAATTGTCTGTATATATAAACTGTATAGTATGTATATATTAACAAGGGGGGGTGGAGATGTAGGGGGAGAGAGGGGGGGGAGATGTAGGTGGGGAGAGGGGGGGAGAGGAGATGTAGGGGGGGAGAGGGGGGGAGGGGGGAGAGGGGGGGAGAGAGAGGGGGGGGGGAGATGTAGGGGGGGGAGAGGAGAGGGAGATTAAGGGGGAGAGAGGGGGGGGAGAGGGGGGGGAGAGGGGGGGAGAGAGGGGGGGGGAGATGTAGGGGGGGAGAGGGGAGGGGGGAGAAGGGGGGAGAGGGGGGGGGGGAGAGGGGGAGGGGAGAGGCGGGGAGATTAAGGGGGGGAGAGGGGGGGAGATGTAGGGGGGGAGATGTAGGGGGGGAGAGGGAGGGGGAGATGTAGGGGGGGAGATGTAGGGGGGGAGAGGGGAGGGGGAGAGGGGGGGGAGAGGGGGAGATGTAGGGGAGAGAGGGGGGGAGAGGGGGGGGAGAGGGGGGGGGAAAGGGGGGGCGGAGAGGGGGAAAGAGAGGGGGGGGAGAGGGGGGGGGAGATGTAGGGAAGAGAGGGGGGGGGAGAGGGGAGGGGAGAGGGGGGGGGGGAGAGGGGAGGGGAGAGGGGGGGGAGAGAGGGGGGGGGAGAGAGGGGGGGGAGAAGGGGGGGAGAGGGGGAGATGTAGGGAAGAGAGGGGGGGGAGAGGGGGGGAGATGTAGGGAGGGTAGAGGGGGGGGGAGGGGGAGATGTAGGGAAGAGAGGGGGGAGAGATGGGGAGATGTAGGGAAGAGAGGGGGGGAGATGTTGGGGGGGAGAGGGGGGGGGAGATGGGGGGGCGAGGGGGGGGAGAGGGGGGGAGATGTAGGGGGAGAGAGGGGGGGGGGAGATCTAGGTGGGGAGATGGGGGGGGGAGAGATGGGGGGGGAGAGATGGGGGGGGGGAGAGATGGGGGGGGGGGGAGAGATGGGGGGGGAGAGATGGGGGGGGAGAGATGGGGGGGGAGAGATGGGGAGATGTAGGGAAGAGAGGGGGGGAGATGTTGGGGGGGAGAGATGGGGGGGGGAGAGATGGGGGGGGAGAGATGGGGGGGGGAGAGATGGGGAGATGTAGGGAAGAGAGGGGGGGAGATGTTGGGGGGGAGAGATGGGGGGGGAGGAGAGATGGGGGGGGAGAGATGGGGGGGGGGAGAGATGGGGGGGGAGAGATGGGGGGGGGAGAGATGGGGAGATGTAGGGAAGAGAGGGGGGGAGATGTTGGGGGGGAGAGATGGGGGGGGGGAGAGATGGGGGGGGAGAGATGGGGGGGGGGAGAGATGGGGGGGAGAGATGGGGGGGGGGAGAGATGGGGGGGGGAGAGATGGGGGGGGGGAGAGATGGGGGGGGGAGAGATGGGGGGGGGAGAGATGGGGGGGGGAGAGATGGGGGGGGGAGAGATGGGGGGGGGGAGAGAGGGGGAGATGTAGGGAAGAGAGGGGGGGAGAGGGGGGGGGGAGATGTTGGGGGGGAGAGGGGGGGGAGATGGGGGAAGAGAGGGGGGAGATGTTGGGGGGGAGATGTTGGGGGGGAGAGGGGGGGAGATGTAGGGGGGGAGAGGGGGGGAGAGAGGGGGAGATGTAGGGGGGGAGAGGGGGGGGAGAGATGGGGAGATGTAGGGAAGAGAGGGGGGGAGAAGGGGGGGAGAGGGGGGAGAGAGGGGGGGAGATGTAGGGGGGGAGATGTAGGGGGGAGATGTAGGGGGGGATGTAGGGGGGAGAGAGGGGGGAAGGGGGAGATTAAGTGGGAGAGAGGGGGGGGAGGAGGGGGGAGATGTTGGGGGGGAGAGGGGGGGAAGGGGGAGATTAAGTGGGAGAGAGGGGGGGAGAGGGGGGGGGAGAGGGGGGGAGATGTAGGGGGCGGAGAGGGGGGGAGATGTAGGGGGGGAGATGTAGGGGGGGAGAGGGGGGAAGGGGGAGATTAAGTGGGAGAGAGGGGGGGAGAGGGGGGGGAGAGGGGGGGAGAGAGGGGGGGGGAGAGAGGGGGGGGAGAGAGGGGGGGGAGAGGGGGGAGAGAGGGGGGGGGGAGAGGGGGGGGAGAGGGGGGAGAGAGGGGGGGAGAGTGGGGGGAGAGGGGGGGGAGAGAGGGGGGGGAGAGAGGGGGGGAGAGAGGGGGGGGGAGAGGGGGGGGAGAGGGGGGGGAGAGGGGGGGGAGAGGGGGGGGGGAGAGGGGGGGGGAGAGGGGGGGGGGAGAGGGGGGAGGGGGGGGGAGAGGGGGGGGAGATGTAGGGGCGGAGATGTAGGGGGGGAGATGTAGGGGGGGAGATGTAGGGGGGGAGAGGGGGGGAAGGGGGAGATTAAGTGGGAGAGAGGGGGGGGAGAGAGGGGGGGGAGAGGGGGGGGGAGAGGCGGGGGAGAGGGGGGGGAGAGAGGGGGAGATGTAGGGAAGAGAGGGGGGGGAGAGGGAGATGTTGGGGGGGAGAGGGGGGGGAGATGTTGGGGGGGAGAGGGGGGGGAGATGTAGGGGGGGAGAGGGGGGGGGGAGAGGGGGGGAGATGTAGGGGGGGAGATGTTGGGGGGGAGAGGGGGGGGAGGGGGGGAGATGTAGGGGGGGAGAGGGGGGGGAGATGTTGGGGGGGGGAGGGGGGGGAGAGAGGGGGAGATGTAGGGAAGAGAGGGGGGGGGGGAGATGTTGGGGGGGAGAGGGGGGGGGTAGGGGGGGGGGTGCTGAGCGAGTGGCTCTGCTACTCACCACGCGAGGCTCGACTGGCTGCACGCCACGTGGCCTCAGTCCCAAGCGCCTCGTGCGCAAATTAAACACGTTTAGGTGACTGTGTGTCAGATTAAATCACTAACAACAACTATAACAATCTCTCGGTGTCTCTCTCTCTGTCTTTGTGTCTCTGTGTGTCTCTCTTTCTGTCTCTCTGTGTCTGTCTCTGTGTCTCTGTGTCTCTCGCTGTCTCTCTCTCTGTGTGTCTGTCTCTGTCTCTCTCTGTGTCTGTCTCTGTGTCTCTCGTTGTGTCTCTGTGTCTCTCTGTCTGTCTCTGTGTGTCTGTCTCTCTGTGTGTGTCTCTGTCTCTCTGTGTCTGTCTCTCTCTCTGTGTCTTTGTGTCTCTGTGTCTGTCTCTGTGTCTCTGTCTCTCTCTGTGTCTCTCTCTGTCTCTGTGTCTCTCTCTGTGTCTGTCTCTGTGTCTCTCTGTCTGTCTCTGTGTCTCTCTCTGTCTCTCTGTCTCTATGTGTGTCTCTGTCTCTCTCTGTCTCTGTGTCTCTCTCTGTGTCTGCCTCTCTGTGTCTCTGTGTGTGTCTCTGTCTCTCTGTGTGTCTCTGTGTCTCTCTCTCTGTCTCTCTCTCTGTGTCTCTGTGTGTCTCTGTGTCTGTCTCTCTCTCTGTGTCTCTGTGTGTCTCTCTGTGTCTCTGTGTCTGTCTCTCTGTGTGTCTCTGTGTCTCTTTCTGTGTCTCTGTGTGTCTCTGTGTCTGTCTCTCTCTCTGTGTCTCTCTCTGTGTCTCTGTGTCTGTCTCTCTGTGTGTCTCTGTGTGTCTCTCTGTGTCTCTGTGTCTCTCTGTGTCTGTCTCTCTGTGTCTCTGTCTCTGTGTATCTGTGTGTCTCTCTGTGTCTCTGTCTCTGTGTATCTGTGTGTCTCTGTGTTGAACTTGGCACCCCCCAGACCGTCAGCGAGGCAATTGAGATCCTAACGGTCACCTCGGCTCGCATTGTTGCTGGGGGAGGGGCCAAGCAGCGAGGCAGCGCTGTGATTGGTCGGGAGGAGGGGGAGGGGCCAAGCAGCGAGGCAGCGCTGTGATTGGTCGGGAGGAGGAGGAGGGGCCAAGCAGCGAGGCAGCGCTGTGATTGGTCGGGAGGAGGAGGCGGGGCCTCGATCACTTCCAGAAGGAGGCGAAGATTTAGATTTATTAGATTATTTTATTATTTTATTATATAATTAAAGCGCCACGTTATTTTATTATATAATTAAACGCGCGTATTTATTACATAATTATATTATTGTGCTTTTTTATATTATGTTATTATATTATTTTATTATGTTTTATTTTTATTATTTCATTATGTTTTATTTTTATTATTTTATTGTTTTATTTTTATTATTTCATTATTGCTTTATTTTTATTATTTTATTATGTTTTATTTTAATTTTATTATGTTTTATTTTTATTATTTCATTATGTTTTATTTTTATTATTTCATTATTTCCCTTCTACGAGACTTTACCGAAAGAACCAAGAAGAGGCGAAGATTTCTATTTATTAGATTAAACCATCCAAGTCACGCAGCATCTCGATTGTGAAGGGAGTACTCTGTGACCTGAAATTCTTCATCGGAGATGACCAAATCCCAACAGTGTCTGAGCAGCCGGTAAAAAGCCTTGGAAGGTGGTATGATTCAAGCCTGAAGGACAAAGACCAGGTGCAACAGCTGCGCAAAGACATCAGTAGTAGCCTCCAGTCCATCGACAACACCCAGCTACCTGGAAAGTTAAAGGCTTGGTGTCTGCAGTTTGGTCTCCTACCCCGGGTGTTGTGGCCCCTAGCAGTGTATGAGGTTCCAATCTCAACAGTGGAGAAGATGGAAAGAGGAGTCACAGGCTACTTAAAGAAGTGGCTCGGAGTTCCACGATGCCTTACCACCATAGGCCTCTATGGAGATGGTGTCCTCAAGCTGCCCCTCACCAGTCTAACCGAGGAATTCAAGTGTGCAAAAACCAGGCTCCAGATGACACTGAATGAATCTCGAGACCCAGTGGTGAGCAACAACGCGCCGACCTTGGCAACTGGGCGCAAATGGAGGCCAGGAAAAGCAGTCCAGGAGGCAACAGCAGCCCTCAGACATGCTGACATTGTGGGTCATGTTCAGCAAGGGAGAGGAGGCCTTGGGCTAACTAGCCGTGCTGCTTGGAGTAAGGCCACTGCACCAGAGCGGCGGAAGATGGTAGTGCAGGAAGTACGCCATCAGGAGGAGGCTGCAAGGTGGGCCAAGGCAGTCTCTCTTGCCAAACAGGGACAGTGGACTCGATGGGACAGTGTGGAGAAGAGGAAGATCAGCTGGAAGGAGCTGTGGGCCATGGAAGCGAGGCGGTTGAGTTTTTCCATCAGAGCAACATATGACATCCTTCCAACACCAGTTAATCTTCACCAATGGTATGGTGAAGATCCGGACTGTGTCCTCTGTTCCATGCCAGCCAACCTCAGGCACATTCTCACAGGGTGTAAAACAAGCCTCACCCAAGGACGCTACACTTGGCGTCACAACCAAGTCCTTAAAAACCTTGCGTCCGCTGTGGAGGACAAGCGAGCTGCCACCAACTCCCTACCACCCCCAGCAGCATCACACCCCTTACGGACGACCTAAACCACCGAAGAGCGGCTCTACACCATTAGAGCGAGACCAGCTGCGCTTGGCCCGCGACTGGAAAATGCTAGCTGACATTGGCCGGCAACTTGTGTTTCCTCCGGAGATCGCAACCACCACCCTAAGTCCTGACATGGTGCTCTGGTCCCGTTCACTCAAGAAGGTCTTCATCATTGAGCTCACAGTACCCTAGGAGGACTCAGTAGATGAGGCTTATGAGCGAAAACATCTGCGCTATGCCGATCTAGCTGCCGAAGCACGGCATCATGGCTGGAACACAGAAGTCCGACCAGTGGAGGTGGGCTGCAGAGGTTTTGTGGCAACATCTACAACCAGACTGCTTAGAGACCTGGGAATTAAGGGCCAGAGCCAGCGTTCGGCAATCAGAGCTGTATCGGAGGCGGCAGAAGGCAGCAGTCAGTGGCTCTGGATGAAGAGGAAAGACCCCAGCTGGGCCCCGAAATGAGAGGGCCAGGAGGTATGCAGTCAACAATGCTTGACTCAGGGAGGAGGACGCCCCTGCCATGCATAGTCCCATGGGATGTTGGCTATCAACAACAAGGCAACTCCTATGACTAATTGGGAATGGGACGCAAGCGCAGGATTGATCACCCTGTCGCTGGCCGCCTTTGGGGAGGGTGTATAGTATGAAAGGCCGAAACACCCTAGGAACCAAAGGTTCACTACTGACGATGCGCTCCCCAAATTTCACCAGGCTCACTGTTCATGAACTCTTGGAAGTGCTTGCACAAAGGATAGTAACATCTCATCCTGTGTTCTTGGAATCTGGGCCAAGTCTTCTGCGCGTTCAGCAGGAATTGTCATCACTGATTGCTCGTTAGTGCCACACATTTTAGTTTTCGTTTGCAAACTCAATCGAACTCTGCAGGGACCCGAGTTGGATTCCTGCTCACGGCCAAAAACAGTTGATGATTATCTGAACCGGTCGTGGGCCTCCCCGAGGTCAACTCGGCCTAAAAGTTGTCCCTTGTGCGATGTGTAAACATCACCACTAGGGAGACAAAGGGGGCCGGGCCTGGTTCTGGTCACCCACCCCCCCCCCCCCCCCCGTGTGCCACAGTGCCGGCCTTGATAAGTGCTGCTACTCGCTAACAGCACTTGCCCCCGACAGTCTGTTAGAGGCTATACGGGGGATCTTTGTCTTTGGCAGTGGCGGTGCAGAAGGTGCGTGCAGGAGGTGCGTGCAGGAGGTGCGTGCAGGAGGTGCGTGCAGGAGGCCGAACGGCGCCCGGAAGAGACGCGTCCCACGAAGAGCTTCCATGAAGAAGTGCGGGAGCGAGGCGAGAGGGGGCCAAGGGATGGGCCGCGGGAGGTCTGAGGGAGGGCAGCGAAGGGGGGGGGCAGATGAACGTCAGCGAGGGACAGGAGCTCGGCCTGAGGGGCACAGAACTGGGGCGGAGTCGGGAAGCGGGAGGGGAAGAGGGGAGAGAGAGACGGCGCAGCAAGAGTCGAGGGCCAGAGACGCGGCGGGCGAGAGACGCAGAGACGAGGCGGCGAGGGGAGCACGGCAAGAGAGAGAGAGAGACAACCATCAGAGGAATTTCATTCAACGGTTCTTGAGGCAGAGGCTAGGGGGGTCCGGTTCAGACGGAGCGAGAGAGACGGGGCGAGATGAGGGGAGGGGCAGAGACGTCGCGAGAGATCGGCAAAGAGAAGGGGAGGCAAGGGGAAGACAGGAAGAGAGAGAGAGACATCAGAGGGCGCCGAGCCTTCGTCGATTTATAAGCGAGAGGTTAGGGGGATTCAGTTGGGAAGGAGGGAGAGAGACGGGGAGGCAGGGAGGGAGAGAGACGGGGGCCCAGGGAGGGAGGGAGATGGGGGGGCAGAGAGAGAGGGAGATGGGGGGGCAGAGAGAGAGAGAGATGGGGGGGCAGAGAGGGGGAGAGATGGGGGGGCAGAGAGGGAGAGGGGGGCAGGGAGGGAGAGAGACGGGGGGGCAGAGAGGGGGAGAGACGGGGGGGTAGAGAGGGGGGCAGAGAGGGGGAGAGAGAGGGGGGCAGGGAGGGAGAGGGGGGCAGGGAGGGAGAGAGACGGGGGGGCAGAAAGGGGGAGAGACAAAAGGGCAGGGAGGGAGAGAGCTGTAGATGCCACTGGTTCTTCACGTTCTGCAGATGTAGATGCCACTGGTTCTTCACGTTCTGCAGATGTAGATGCCACTGGTTCTTCACGTTCTGCAGATGTAAATGCCACTGATTCTTCACGTTCTGCAGATGTAAATGCCACTGATTCTTCACGTTCTGCAGATGTAAATGCCACTGGTTCTTCACGTTCTGCAGATGTAGATGCCACTGGTTCTTCACGTTCTGCAGATGCCACTGATACTTCACGCTCTACAGATGTAGATGCCACTGGTTCTTCACGTTCTGCAGATGCCACTGGTTCTTCACGTTCTGCAGATGTAGATGCCACTGATTCTTCACGCTCTGCAGATGTAGATGCCACTGGTTCTTCACGTTCTGCAGATGCCACCGATTCTTCACGCTCTGCAGATGTAGATGCCACTGGTTCTTCACGTTCTGCAGATGTAGATGCCACTGGTTCTTCATGTTCTGCAGATGTAGATGCCACTGGTTCTTCACGCTCTGCAGATGTAGAAGCCACTATTTCTTCACGTTCTGCAGATGTAGATGCCACTGGTTCTTCATGTTCTGCAGATGTAGATGCCACTGATTCACGTTCTACAGATGTAGATACTAATTCCCTTTGGCACGTGTTTCCTCTCTATTCTCTTGAAATACCTACTAAGAGATGTCTGCACAGTTGTTCTCTTCATCTCTGCACAAATCAACTTGTGATGGGCAATCGCATCGTTGAACTGCGGTAACGGGACATACGGACAGGTTTGCACGTATCTCTGAAAGTTCCCAAGTCGAATGTTTGTAAGTAGAGGTAGTCCCTGTACTACATCGGGCACAAGCTGGGGGCAGGGGTGGGGGGTCAGGGAATTGGGTGATGCAACAGATGTTCATTAGGGATAGAGAAGGGGTTGGTTGTCACTGTGGAGGCGGCATTGCCGAGGGGACAGGACAGGAAGGGTGGGTCACCCTTGACACGTGAAGGACACGGCTTCGAATCCCGTCTAGTGAGCAAAACGAACAAAGACGCCAAGGTCACCGTGAACTGATGTCACGACTCCCCCGCGCTGACGTCATATCGAGTTTCATTTAAGTGACGCCACTATATTTCCAAAACGAGTGTGGTTTTTACAGTATTTTTGTTTTAAGACGCGAGGTTGCCACCTGTCCTTGCTTTGATGTAATATCCC